CAAGATTCCAGTAGCCCAAGATCCCAAGATCCCAAGATCCCGTCCGCACCAATTACGCAGTTGGTTAGAGCGCCTAAATTCCGATTTACCCACCCTTGGCGGGTTTCAGGCGCCCACTGGTTGTCGCCCCGGACGGGAACGCCTTGCGTGCGGTGGCATTGGCCGCACTAAAGGTCAGGTGACGCCAGAGGGCGGGACGGTTTGAGCCGAGTAATGAGGCACGTTAAGCTTTCACCGCCGAAATCGACCATTCAACCGCGGTTCCACGATCGGGTGATGGGATCACGGCTCACGGGTCTGTGTTATGTCAAGTAAACAGCCAAGACCTTGATGCACGGACGCAGCCAGGCGGCAGGAGGGGTTGGGGCGGGGAGAGGGGTAGGCTGGCACTTTTCCTTTTCACCATGGATGGCTCCTGACATAAAGCACAAAAATGGCGCGATGCCTTCTCAACGAGCGCCTTTAAGAACATTCTGGCTGCGCTCTTGCCGTGATGCTCCTTTATCATCACGACACACATTCACAAATACACCAGCAAGGTCATAAGGCATATGTATCATACAACCTGCGGCTTGGCCTGGGGCTTTTAATGTTCAACTCCCAACCTATAATGAATGGACGCGCGCAACGGCTACGAGCAGCCATGACCGAATCAATTGAAAGGCTCAACTTCCTGCCATAGTTCATGATGATGGTTATGTGAGATTTTAGGACGCGTCGACATGACAGGTCATAATGCATCCACAACGGTTCCTTAGGACTGTGCTATCTTTTCACTAGCAGGGACTAAACGCACCCAAAAACCTTACGCCTCTTACGAGCAGGCATAACTGGCTTCAGTGTAATAATGCCAAGTGGGTGTTCAGCATGTCGCGATAAGACATAACGGCTGTCTCCCAATATGACACAATAATTTTTTTCCTGAAGTGTGAACAGAAGTAAAGCACATGATAAACTGTGAGCGATGCACCATGTTTCGGCCATTGAGGTCTCCCGCCGCCTCACAACACTTAATCATGTGTCGCGTAAGTATGGCAAATTTGCAGACGGCACAGGGGGATCACTTCACATCTAGCCACTTGCGAGCTAGATGGTAAAAAGCCCAGCAGTGACTTCATTGTCCTTGCTTGTTGTTCCTTCGTCGTCCTAGCAGTGTTGCCGTTTTCTTGCTTAGTAAGCTTTGATGGCCAGGTAGATGTTCCTAGCTGTGAGCGGAAAAGAACTTGTGCATGGCACACGGGCGGCCCACTTTGCGGCGATGTCGACGAGCTCGTTGCCTGCTATCTCTAAGTGGCTTGGAATCCAGCACAGCACTACATTTTTCCCCGTGTCATTCAACTATCCAAGGGAGTCGAAACAACCCGTAAAAAGGGGCGCTGTGAATAACATATTTTGAGGGCTATGGGGCTACTGAGGAAGTTAAGAAAGACCGGGTGGCGATCATTATCAGCGGGTTCAAGGTAGCAAAGTGCTCTAACACGTCCCGGGTGGCCGGCTAGATATCCTTCTCTCGGGTGGGAGCTACGAGCACGTCTGGCCCACCGTTTCTCATCCCCACCCCTTGTTACACTCTTTTACACAGACTGTTTCTTAACACTTCCGGCTAAACTCGTTCGTAGTAAATCACTGGTGAATGGGTTACACCATCTCTCTGTCGAGGGCAGGTCGGGAGCGCATTTCACAGTAATTTTATAGCTCCGGTGCAAACAAACGGCATCTCCCAGCTGAGAATGCTTAATTGAACGTACTGGGTCCAACAAATCCGGTTTATGTAAATATTTATTTTTCGGTTTTTTGATATTTGTTTGTTAATTTTTTTCGAGCTTTTCATGCTTAAACCAGCTCACAAAAGCAGCGTTCTCACGCGGCCGCGACGTTGGTGCCATATGATTTAGTCCCATGACTTCACAGCGTCGCCTACCCAGAATGCAGTAGTGCGTGGGCTTGGGAGATAATATCTTTATAATCACTGTTAACGTCTTCAAGATACCCTCCACCACAAGGAGGGCAACGGTGTCTTGAAAGCTGCGCTGTGCTTTTCTTGCTGCTTTCACGCAAAATATTCCGTGAGAAGTGATTTACAACTGCAACTACAACATTTCGGTGTCATGATATTGTTTGCTCGCCTATCGCATTCAAGGTCGACAGAAAACGCTTCGAAATTGGGTCATCCTGAAACAGGACATTCTGATGAAAGGAAAGCTTGACGACTCAATAAGTCACAAAAAACGAAATAATGACGCTTCTGCGCTACATCTTGGGCCGTAAAGACAAAATTGATAGAATAAAACAGCAGCGCAGTCAAATGCACGTGACAAAAATGCTTCGTGCTCGCCTCCCACAAGCCAGGGCTGGGACAAACTGACGAAAGTTGTCGGAAAAGCATGTCTCAAAGCTTTGCGTTCCTTACCAGGAAACGGTCTTGTGGTAGTTACAATACATTTACGTGAACAACGTAAACTTTTCCAGATGCAAATAGCGGCACATCACAGGTCAAAGCTGGCCCAGACCTGTGCGAACTAGTCTCGCAGCGACACGAGGTCACTACTTGACGAAGGGCAGGCCTGACAACCATTCTGAAAAATTTGTCTCCATTTGTGCAACGTGCCATACACGCTCGGGAGCACAGCCAGGTGTCCGTCTCTGTTAGGACGTTTTTACAATTGATGTCAGATCGCGTAACCACGGGAGATAAAAATACGAAACAAACTGCATGGTGTGAGTGAATGCCAGTATACATGTTATCACTTACTACTAATCGTTATCTACAAATCCCTACGCACACAAAAATAAGCAAAGCCAGTGAGATTTTATCCATGACGAAGCGAGCCCTCAACTGGGAAGTGGATGATAACGGCATTTTGGAGGGCGGTCTCGCATGTCGCGCCCTGGGCCTAAACCGAGAGGTTGCTCCTTGAAGATCACGCAGTCGTGTTTTCTGTTCACGTTGTTTTCGGGCCGATCACCGAAAACGTAAATCACTCCAAATCTGTAATTTTCGCTGACTTAAATGACCAGCCTCGCCGGCTTCCACAGCTTGAGCCATGATGGTCCAGCCGGCTTGGCCATAGTGGCCCGGCTGGCTGTGCATAGCCAAGGCCATGGTGGCCCGGCTGGCTGTGCACAGCCACGGCCATGGTGGCCCGGCTGGCTGTACGCAGCCTCAGCCATGGTGGCCCGGCTGACTGTGCGCCGCCTCGGCAATGGTGGCCCGGCTGGCTGTGCGCAGCCTCGGTGTGCGCAGCCTTAACCATGGTGGCCCGGCTGCCTGTGCGTGGCCAGGTGAACAGTTAACTTCTTTCTTGGCAATGGGGTTCGTGTAATGGTAAGCCAACACCATGTATGCATATGAATGAGCCCCCGATGAACTGCATCAGATTGCTCAGCCAAGCGCTAACGGAAGACCAGGAACGCAATGACAGCATCCCAACATCCCACAACGTTTTTATGTGGCAAATTTAGATGATTCATGAGATGAACAACATCGTCAGCCTACAAGTGGCAGCAAAATGCTGCACCTCCCGCACGCACGGCCGGAGGATTTAGCACGCATCACATGCTCCCGATTATTCGTGCTTGGTGCCCTTGGTGCACAAGGGCACCAAGGGCGTCATCGTCGTCGTCATTGGGGCTGTACGACGCACTGAGCTGCTGAAGCTATATGGCGTCGCCGGCTCTCACCCTAGCAGGAAAGGTGGGCACCGCGGGGAATCGAACCCCATACCACTGGTCTTCCATACGTGCAGTGGTTAACGCAGGCGCGTTAACCACTTAGGCCTTTCTTAGGACTCCATTCTTAGGTCTTAGGTTTTGGTGTCATTTGCACAATAGCATTCCTAAGATCCGTTGTCACTTCACTCTTCCTACTATGCGTTACCCTTTGCACTAGTTTTGTTTCTTTGTTGACACTGATTTTTTCGAAATGAATCATGGCGGCAGCTAGCACTTGATTCTCAAATCAAGCACAGGGTGTCTCCTACATAGGAAAGTGAATATAAAACTCCTATCAAAGCGCCACTAACTAATTTCAGAAATCACTCATCTACAGAGAACATTTTCTACTGAATTGGCAATGCTGTGATATCAATCTGTACCTTGGGGGTGGATTGCGTAACATTGCATGTGCTTTTATGGTATTTTCATGGTATTGCATTCTTTTGGTTGAAATACCATGAACATAAGTTGCTTTCTATATTGTAGCTGATAAGCCTTGATGGTGTTCTTTTTTTGTCTGGTGATTTATTTCTTTTGCTGTTACGTTGCATCTTAGCACAATAAATATGAGATATTTGATTAGGACACGTAATAGGATGTACCAAGGCAAGGTTAGTACGATACACACACACGCACAGAGAGAGAGAGATAAATGTATATATATTTATATATATATATAGATATATATATATATATATATATATATATATGTATATGTATATATATATATATATATATATATGTGTATATATATACACATATATATGTATATATATACATATATATATATATATATATATATATATATATATATATATATATATACATATATATATATATACATATATATATATACATATATGTATATACTGGTATGTACATGTATATACTGGTATGTACATATATATGTATATACTGGTATGTACATATATATATATACATACACCAGTAGAGCCAGTAATACCCCTAGAGCTATGCACCAAAGGAAGTATCAGGGAAGATACCAGTGGAGCTATTCACCAGAGAAGACACCAATGAAACTACGTACCATGGGAGGCTCCAGGGGAAAAACAAGACAGGCATGTGCCAGAGGAGGTACAAAGCGGGTACTTTTGATCCTCCTCCAGGCGGTCACGGATGATGGAATGACGAAGGCGGTTTTGGTTCCATTGCCAAGCCATGTGTTACCATACGTCCACCCGGCAGAACAATGCCAAAGCGCACAATGGTTCCAAGGTAAAGACGCCCCTGACCTGACCTAAGGCAAGTATTCTTCTCGGTTTCAGCTCAGTCGTAGCCAGTCATTATGAGCCGGGCGATGAAGCAAAGCACCCGGTCCACACTGCACATCGGCTTCGGCGTTCTCGGTCTGCTCTCCTTCCTGCTCGTGCTGTTCTTCAACTACAGCACATCAAACCAGAACCTAGGTGAGCGCTGGTTCAGGTGAATGCATATCAATCTCTTGAGTACTGGATTACTTGTTCTTTACTTGCTATATATATATATGTATAGCTATTACTTGCTATACGTTATTTTATATGGCATAGGCTAATGCGATACGTTATTCACGATCCGCTTTCAACTCATGGGGGGGGGGGGATGAAGGGGGGAGGCAAAATAACAGTCTGCGGTAGCTCACTGCCTCATTTCCAGCTTCATGGGCGCGGATGAGTGCGTGAGCCCGATTGTGAGTGCTTGTGAATTAAAGGTGATTTGAGGGAGCTTGATAACGTAGTGGGATAGCAACGTGAGAGCAGGTGAGTTGGTGAACGCATGACCGCATCAGCGAGTGACTGAGTGGCTGCGTGAGGAAACTGAAAAAAAAACAATACGCCTCCGGATCACTGCCGACCCAACCCCATTGGAACACAGCCATGTCATCCCCGCTGCTGATTCCGCTCGTTAAGGTGTTAGTTAATGCGTTAATGTGCTCATGTATAATAATGTTTTAGATGCACAAAAGGGTGACGTATCGCTTTATTTGCCATTTGGATTCATCTCCGGCGTGGGGTTGAGGTTCTGTGTTTCTCTACAGGTCTTTTCTATCAACCGACGGGGAACATCTCCAACAAATATGAGGTATTCATTACCCCATCCAGTTGGACGTTCATCATATGGGCTGTTATCTACACGTGGATGGCAGTCGCACTGATCTATGGTACGTGTGCGGTGCATGCTACTGATCTTGATAAGACACGTGCATGAAGTGTATGACATTGAAATATGCGCCTGCCATGTTTGCAGCAGCTAGTACAAAATAGAAACCGCCCGATGTGCTTCGGAGAAGCATGCTTTTTCTATCGTATCCGAAAAATCCTGCGGCGCAGTTAACAAGGAAGCCTTTGTCTGTTTTTAAAGAACTTGAATTCCATGTATTTATGTATTCATTTCATCGTTATAAAGAATATGTGCGGCAAGCTCGGTCTTGCGAACCGTCTGTGTTTCGGACAATGGCCAAGGTGCATCGTCATGAGCTTTGCAACATCTGCGGGCGCATTTAGTAAGAATTGTTTGCAGATATAACATCTAGGGTCACATCGAAACGGCCTACTGGGCAAGATATTTTTTGCAGATATGGCGTTTAGCTTTACATCAAAGCCCGTGACAAGCTCGCTAACTGGGAATGGCGTACCCCCGTACTAGTCTGCTCAACTTTCTTAGTTCAACACTTTCTCTTCTGCCCGTTTGATGTTGAACAAATAAATGATTCAAGCCCAGTGGAAGACCAAAACAAGACGTGAAAAAGGCAATAATGCACAGCATCTGAACATGCCTCTGTTCCAACTTCCTTATTTGGCCATCGCCAAACCCGATTGAGGTCCACGTGATCACGAAATCAAGATAAGCAACGCCAGATTAGTACAGGGCACGCTCAGTCAAACAAATGGCCATACCGGTTTTGAAGCGATGCTCTTGCAACTTCCGGAATCTCGCGAAACACCCGGTCGTCCGGCGGGTCGAGAACGTCATGAATATCAGCAGATCGAGGCTGCAGAGGTAGGAGCGATCCAGCTGGATTCACGCAGCTGTGACCGGACTGTTTGAGCGTTGGTGTCTCCAACAGTTGCGTCAACGGTACCGCAGTCATGTCACGTCTGGGTCTTGTGCTGCCAAAAGCGAGGTCAAACGCAGACGCACAGATCCGTGAGTTGCGACCACACGCGGCACGTGGGGACACAGGGCGCTCCCGAACCGCCCGTCGCTAACTGACGGCGTGCGGTCTGCGGGGAGCAGACGTCAACTGTCGACATGGCCATAACCAGCGGCCTGAACGGTCTGACCCGAGTAATTTGGGGGGGATAGGGACGTTTAGGGGAGGGGACGTCCGGAACAAATAACACTAAGGTAGATTGGATGTCATTATAGCGCTTTACCTTTAACTCCAGAAGCTTACCATATGTTGTCACGCTCTAGATGTCAGTGAAGGTGTTGGCGTACTGACGCAAGGTCCCTCGCCAGCCCTGTGCAGTAAGTCAGGAGACCTCGGGAAATTACCTTATTCAAGCAGCAAACTATCGGAAACTTGAGTGAACATGACCCTGTCCACAAGTGCATAGCTGTGCTAACGCGATGTGAGCAAATACGTTAACCAAAACTGAAACGGTGATCTACGTGTCTGCGTGCGCCATGGGTGGCCGTGCTGGACGTGACGCTGCCGATTCTAAAGCTGTGATGTGCCCGTCTGCGTGTGCCCTGGGTGGCCGCGCTGGACGTGACGTGCTCGAGCGCCGTGGGTGACCGTGCTGGCCGTGATGCTGCCGAGTCTGAAGCGGCGAGGTGCGTGTCTGCGTGCGCCGTCGGTGGCCATGCTGGACGTGACGCTCGGGCCCGTTACAGCACTGTCCCAGCTGTGCCGGCGCACAGAGCAGGGCCCGCTCTATCTGAACCCGGTGACGGTGCCGGTGCAGTTCTGGCTGCTGTTCGTGCTGAACCAGGCGCTGAACATCAGCTGGCTGTTCGTGTGGGACCGCGAGCTGCTGACGGCGGCGGCCGTCTTCCTCGCCCTGGTCGTCATCACCAACTGGCTGGCCATGTACACACTTCACGCCAGGTGGGCGCGGCAGGTGGCGGCTCGCGCCTGACGCCGGGAGCGCAGAGCCATTACCCGAACATGGCGACGCGTCCCATTAGATGTGTCTCAGTGTGATTTATTGACATGGAAGACACGCATGCCTACGAATACCTGTGTTATGTGGTGAACACCTGCCAACGTCGAAGATAATCGCTTGTCGAGTGAGGAGATAAACGCCGCGTTTTGAACTAGCATACAGAGCGCTTTAGCACAGCTTTTACATGAATGTTATCGTTCATACGATCAAATCCATTCTAAGCGTCATCATCCACCGTGTGTCAGTTAAAGGCTTACCCAGCCACGTCTGAACAGTACTAGTGACCATGAATCTGAAGCGGACCTACTCAATCTGATGCCCGCTGCAACGTCCCAAACGCTGTGGCGTATATAGTGTATCATACAAAACCAAGAGCACCGCTTCAGCGCGAGTTCCTGAAGTGTTTTTTGTCTATGCCTTTAAAAGAGCGCGCTATTTTGAATGCTCTGAAGGAACTTCCGCGCCATTTTCGCGCCAGGCTCGCTCTTATTTTGGAACTTTAGCGCCAGACCCTTCGCTTATTTGCCCACTGGAGGCAGCAGTACGGAGCCATAGATCGTGTTGACGTGCTGCAGGCTGTACGTGGACGGGTCACCACAGCCGATGCCCAGTGCCCGTGAACTGCTGCTGCTGCGGCTTTGCGTACACAACGGCTTGGCGGTCTACACGGCCTGGACGACCGTGGCGGCGCTGCTCAACCTGGACATCGCCCTGGTGCACGTGGGCCAGGTGGGCGCCCGGGCAGCGGCCCGCCGCTGTCACGGCCGCGTGGTGCGCGGAACCGGCGCGTCCCGGAGCCGGTCTGGGGGCGCTGCCCGGCCGGCCGTGAGCGCTACGCCGCCGTCGGCGCGTCCCCAGCTAAGCGGTGAAGGTCTGAGAGCATTTAGCTCAACTGATAGTGCGTCACCCCGGCTGTTTTGCACTCGGCTTCGCTGCGTGCGGCACCTCGACAACACTCCATGCATGTTTAAAGAAAATTGCGCGTCGTTGTGTCGCCCGGTTGCCGTAGCAACACCGTTTGATATTTGTCGTGCCGCTGTCTATTCACTTTCCACTATCGGTCAACCAATCGTCGATCGATTGTGTGCCAGCACACAGCACATCACGCAGCTAAATATAAACAACATTCACAACACAGGGTGTCCCTGAGGTCATTGTCCTTCCATTTTACGGAGGTGCCAAGGTCATACACGCTTGGCGACCGATAGAAAACTGCCTTGACACCCCATGCTAGCCACTTGGTGACACCGGATGCAAGGGGCATTCTACCCACGAACAGGTGCGCATCCTTGTGTGGCGCGAGCACTACACAGCTGCGAACAATCCAGCGAGGCGAATCGCTCAACACATGCAGCGATGGCGGACGTGATGGCCTGTTTGGCGGCGACCTTTGCGTGCCGCGGCTGGCTCTGGCCAATACTGGGCGTGCTGTGTGTACTCGGAGGGCTTACGACATCCTGTGTGTACCTTGGGCAGCCTGTGGGGTGCTGGGTGGGCGGACGTGTCCCGCGAAGTGTACAGCACGGCGTGTGTACTCTCGGTAGCGTACGTCTCACTTCAGCATGGCACTCCTGCCTCTCTTCGGAACTTTCCCTTTTCTCTTTTTCCATACACCCTAATGACTAGTCCAATTTGAATAACTTTGGGGGGTTAGATTCATCGCAGCCTATTGGGACGTACCCAGGCATGCGTGTTTTTGGCTTGTCCGTGACGCGCGTAAATAGCTGTCACATTAAGGATTACTCCGGTACAAATTGAACCAAATCTGTAAGTGCCAAGTGCAGTCTGTAAGCCAAGTGTAGGGCAGCTGATTGTACGTATTCCCTGTCCTTTTCTATCCGTCGTGGTTGTCCTGCTCAAGGACAACGCCTTCGACGGGCGTGTCTGCATGATGAGCCATAGCGAGGTGGATGGGACTAAGTCTGGCGAAAGGGAGGGAGATCAGGTTCGTTAATGCGATGCCAGCGCGAAGAAGACGTTTCGTATTTATTGGTGGTTGTTGTGTATCCTGTTGGCTCGTTCTTGTCTAAAGGCTGCCCACGTTGTGTCTATGAATGGTGCACGACCCCTTATTGACCTTTGCGCTGATAGGAGGGTGGGTGTTCGAACAACCCCCTGAGTTTTTTTTGAGGATGCCTCTCCGGCATATTGTGCAATCGCGCCCAACGTTCCGTGGCCTATGGGGCATCCATTGCGCGTGTTTTGACTCCAAAAGGTACTCCTAGCTCTCCTGGTTTCTGAGCAGTGACGGTTTTTAGTAACACCGCACGGCGATCTACGGCTGCCGCGGACGGCAACCGACGATGCCGCTGAGCGCGCGCGGCGGGCCGACATTGTTACGTTAACCGCGCCATATATCATGAACCTACCTCAAAACACACGAAAATATACAACTGTGCTCAACATTAAACAACAAACATACCTGCACAGGTTTCGTGTTGCCACAAGGTATAGTCTCGTGTGTATGACGTAAGGTTGAAAAAATGTGATAGTCTGGACAGGTTGCATTTGGCCAGGGATAATGAAGCCCATTATTGACCTAACAACATACATGCAAGTACAAATCGTAAGATCTCGTTGAGACCAATGCACACTCAGATCGCTCAGATTTATCTGTATTAGTTTAGAAACATCAGGGGTGGGGGAGGAGTGGCATCGACTGTCTATCAGTCCGTGTTATTGAAAGCCGCGAACCAGGGCGAGGATTTAGTAGTAGTGATCATCTTTTGCCTGATGCCGTTGGCAAAAATGAAATTAAATGGACCATGAGCTGTCGTGCACAGGTAGGGATGAATGCAACGAGTTAATGAGTTGCTAGCACTTTCCACTACCGGCGGTCGGCGAAAGTGTTCGTGCCTGTCTACGTTATTTGATCTTTGCGCCTTCCTGATCACACATTTTATGACACGTTCAGTGGGCAGGTAATCTTGAAAAATGGGTCGGAATGTTGGAAAATTATCCGGACTAGCGCTCGGCACAACTAACATCGATACTTATCTCAGTTTAATGGCTATCTCTTGAAACAGAGAATGCTATGCTCATCCAGTGTGCGGCCAAGACGGATAATCTTGTATCGCCGTGCTTAAACATCCAGAGTATAATTGATACCATATCATCATATGATACCAGAGTATCATTCATTGCACATTGCATGGCAAATGATATATATATATATATATATATATATATATATATATATATATATATATATATATATAAGGTTGCTGTACACCCTTCAAGGGTCAGTGTCTGGCGACCGGTAATCAGACCAGCTTTCTTCAAACCGGTTGGCTCCGGATAGAATGCTCTTACCATGGCTCCCAAGCAAAAAAAAGCCGTGTAATCTAGGCTTATGTCTTGTGGTCTTCAACGATCGCAGCTCCGCAGCGACTGATGCACTCACAGACCTGTTCCACGACTCATAAACTGCGTGCCCTTGTTACTCACATCAACAAGAAGAGACTTAAAGAAAGTGCTCCACATTTGTGTGGGAGTTCGAACCGAAATAGTTACCTTGACGGCCTTTCGGTGCAGTTTACAGCCCTGCCCCTCTTAAGTCCTAAATCCCTCCAGTTTCTGAGCTATGCTCCCGCGAAAATGGGGAAGATTTTGGGGGAGAGTATTTCCAGGTCACCTTGGCATTCATAACGTCATGGCATCATTCAAATCCTGCCATTCCATAAGCCATGCGATGATCAAGGCCGAGAAAGATACAGTGCCATGTCGTTCATATCTGGTTTTTGCGAACACCATTTCCAGATAAAATGGCCGTTAGTTGGCTGTCAATCAATGTTGTGCAAGGTACCATGACTTAATCAAACCATGGTGTACCGAGGAGCACGCTTACTAAACTGAGAAATTGTGTTGTGAAGAGTATTTCTTCTACTTTGAAGTATACCAATGGCTATAAGTGAGCTTATTTCATCCTATCTGATGCTTGCTTCAGTATCTTCAGAAGTGAAACATTGCCTTTAATCTACAATATTACAATTAATTTCGCGGTTATTACCGCTCCATCCATAATTGCATCTAATAATGATGGTTCCAGCGCAATGTTTGTGACTGCTACGTGTTTTCAAAATACAAAAGCAGGTGAACTGCACACTTGACCTTCACGTAAGCCTGCAAGTGACGAAGTGGTACGCACGATGCATGAACCGGGTCTTACGTCCCAACCTTTTGGTTTGGGTCAATGTTGACCAGCTTGATTATATATATATATATATATATATATATATATATATATATATATATATATATATATATATATTTAGAGAAAGAGAGAGAGATTATATATATATATATTTAGAGAAAGAGAGAGAGATTATATATATATATATATATATATATACATATATGAATATCATAAGCCAGCGAACCACCATTGGTATTTCTCAAAACTTCAAGGGTGGTCCCACATCGCATACATTAGTCATGACAGTGTTCTCATACCCTGACCGGGGTCCTGTCACTTCCGTCCGTGCACGTTATCACCGTGTCTGTGTGACTGACCTTCCCTCCCACCCCGCAGGCGTCCAACGAGGTGTCCAGCGCCGCCATAGCTCTGGTGCTGGCCGCCATTATTGTTTCATGGCTCATTCTGGAGGTCACGGTATTGGACCGCTACACGCGCTGGACGCTCTCGCCCGGCTTCAGTGAGTTCTTTTCGGCCTAGCTGTACGGCTCCATTGACTGCCGGACGACAGGCTTGTTGGCCTGGGAATGACGGAGCTGGAGGGCTTGCCCCCACGCCGAGTGTAGTCTGATCTTCCTTGGTTCAGTTCCAAAATGTACCTGAATGTCTTACAGTTCTAACTTTGGGAGCGGAGACCTTGCTGAAACATGCCTCGCGCTTAGTATGCCTTGTACCCCTCGATTCCAAATCAACAGACAATTGAACGCTCAACAACAAAATGGTAGATGTGATCAAAAACCCATCGCAATTTAGTTTAAAAACTTATTGATGTGTACACGTTTTGGTCAAAATTGGAACAAATTATTTTCACGCCAGCGGAACGACAGAATGAGGTCGTTCCGTTCCAGCCTCCTCCTCTTCTGCCTCTTACCAAACTTACTCTGCCTCTTATCGCCTTTGACGATGCACTTGGCGCTATTTCTGGAACGTAAGCCGACATAGCCGTGCTTGATGTAAGCAGGTAAGGCACTGAGCTCGTAGTTTTTCGTCCTGGTATAGAATAGGTCGGTAAGTGTTTGTATACAAACTCTGAGCTCAAAACCCACCTAATCTGGCGCTCCGTGGTCAAATGTTAAGTACTTAACGAATGCACCAACGGAGAGTGCAAACATTAAGCTTAAAAACAAATAAACACCGTGTTTTCTATAAGCCGCGGTTATTACAATCGGATGGTACGTGACCAACACGTTCTCCTCAGGATGGCTACATGGAGTATATTTTACACTCAGACTATTCGTATTTGCCCTGTGATACGGACTAACTCCGTTCAACCTTTGAACATGACCGTGTGAAGCTGTTTCCACCTAGCTGATGGCAAAAGGTCTTGACGGGATCGTGATATTAGAATACACAACACAAAGTACCAAGTCGGCAAAGAGGACCGCACACTAGCCACGGCGAAAAGAGATTTGAATGTGGACGATACAAAAACAACTTATTTCAACGTCCCAACAAAATCCAAGACATTTGCATGCCATATGACTTCTCGCGCAGTCAGCACACGGTGCCTGAGACCGCCCCTCTGCCGACAGCTCTGGTGTGGGCGCTGGCCGGCGTGTTCGACAAAAACTACGAGCGCGCCTCGGGCGCCATGCCGACAGTGTTGGCGGTGGTGCTGGGCGTGGCGTGCGCGGCGCTGGCTCTGCGACTGCTGGCGCTGGCCGTGTTCGTGGTGCGCCGGCCGCTGGAGAAACCACGGGTGCGGGCTTTGCGCTCTGTCGAGCCCGGCCGGACCAACGGCGCGTTTGACCACTAGCCGGCCTGGCGTGCCGTTGTGGAGGGATGGAGCGAGGAGTTGCGGGAGTGTGACCTGGCGAGCCTGCGCTAAGAGGGGAGTGAGGAGCTGTGGGAGTGTCGGCTATCGAGATGTCGTGGTTAGAGAGAGTTTGGAATTGTGAGAGCATAACCTGGCGAGCTATTGCTGGAGGGGGGGGGGGGGGGAGGGGGAGGAGGGAGGAGGGAGGAGGGAGGAGGGGCAATGAGGAACTGTGGGAGTGTGACCTGGCGAAATGTCGCTGAGGATGGGTGGTGATTCGTGTGAGTGTGACCTGCCGACATATCGCTGAAAGAGGGAGTGAAAATTTGTGAGTGCGATCTGGCGAGGTGTCTCTGACGGAACGAGAGTGAGAGCGAGAGGGGGCTGTGAGAGCGTGACCTGGCGAGGTGTCACTGAAGAGGAGCGTGGATTTGTGGGAGTGAGGCCTGATGAGGCGTCTGTGAGAGAGCGAGAGCGAGAGAGCGTTGTGGGAGTTGGACCTGACGAGGTGTCACTGAAAGGGAACGTGGATTTGTGGAAGTGAGGCTTGCCTTCCGCACCACACAGCTGGAATCATTGTGAAGTTTGCTCGAATGCAGGGAACGTTTATGAATCTTGTTTTGCTGACATCGCATCATCATGAGGAGAAGCGGAAAGGTTAGGTTCTGATTGCACTGGCCGTCCAAATGTGCTCACACGGTGATAACGCACACGACCACACCGTGATAAGACACACGACCACACCGTGATAACGCACACGACCACACCGTGATAACAAACACGACCACACGGTGATAATTGACCGGCTGGCGTGATTGCTCTTATTGGAGTGGGATAGAACCGTGTATATCACATGACACATTCGGCGATACATGGTTGGCTCGCTCATGATGCGTTGATGAACTAAACTAGTCAAAACCTGTTTGTGCATAAATGCGCTGAAAAGCTTCTTTGCTGCAAAAAGCTGCATGTCGGAGATGGAGCTGATATGAGGATGAACGGAACAATAAATGCTTAGCCGCGGGCCAAGCATCGTCCATGTGGCGTAAGGATGCCTTCAGCAACTTACAAAACATTCTTAAGCTTTTTGTGACCCTGATTTTCAAGAACTTGGATTCGTGTCGGTCAGAGCGGCACAAAACGATGGTCGCTGGTTGCAGCCGCGTAAGCCTCTAGAGAAAGTGACGACCAGTCCGGACGGGCCGCTTAAGCCAAAACTTGCAGCGTTATTAATGTGAGCCTGCCGGCATGCAACGTAAAAAGGTCAAATTCTTTCAGAATTATGCACATTTAGAGGAGCTCAGGCTGCAGGTCCCACGGCTTGCGCCCGTGGGACGGCCCCCCCCCCCCCCCAACCTTTCACAAAGTCGACGTCTTTGCATTAAGTTCATCACATGACCACCGCACAAATCATGTTTTTGTGCCGAGTTATTTACTTGCCAGTTTGATGAGTGGTGTTCCAAGCGCATAACGTCTGTCTGCAATTTTTGCACATAAATTTTTCCGTGTATGGATAATTTGTTCTTGCGACGTAAATGACCGTAAGTGTCATGCGGACCGTCCGATGGCGCGGCCCGTTGGCACCAGTTTTCCCGTGATTCTCACGCATCAGTGCAGATCAGCTGAGCGGTCGTGTGGACGTGAAAGGTACATCACACGTGAAAAATGTTGTAAGGTAGAAATGCACCCGGATGCGGACACGAAGCCGCAGTGATGTGAATGATGTGCTTGATGGTATCGAACGCCATGTGTTGTGTTCAGTGTGTTCCAGCGAGTGTTTATTGTAATTTGCTCGCCAGCTGGCCAACGTTTGCTGGCGACCGGCGTGCGTTATACTATATTCGGTCTCATCCGCCCCTATTGCCTCATTCTCGCTTCCTTCATCCCGCATCCCGCGGCACTTCGGTTATCCAGGGCAAGTTATCACATGTGTCACAATATATCACAGCCATTGGTGGGCTTAGCTTCCGCTGGCGCCAGCCCTGCTCGAGCACCTGTCCACAGCCCGGAGAGGGCGGCGTCCCTGTGCGACCACAGCCCCGGTGGAGTGCCCAGGTGCCTGTGGCCTTGCCCCTCCCCTCTCCACTCTCCATCCTATAGGCCTGAAATGATGATTATTGGCCGAAAGAGCATGAATCCAAACCACATCAAATAGTCCCTGGTGAGAGCTAATTTTAGTAATGTCGATATATGTGATACTAGTTGTTGGTCCATTGGCCACTGCGAATAGCAGCAGGAGCCTTTCGAGAAGTGCCTTTGAGAAGCTGTAAAATTGGACAAAGAAGTGTTTCAAACGTCAAATTAACTGCCGTGGCTCCGCTTGTAATCCGTCGTGATGTGCACCACTCGTCGTTTGAAGTGCCCATCCCATTCACCGGCATGTGATTGTGTTGTCACGCTCGTTTACTCGTTGGGTCCGCGGTGACATGGAAGATCAGTCAGGCACTTTGCGTCATGCTCGTACACACTTTTGTATCAAGACCATGCTTTGACTCGCCGCATGATCAAAGCCAACTTTAAAACCGCTCGACTTCTTCAGCTTTGGAGTGTTCACGACAATGTTTCTCAAGCGATATTTTTCGTGAACAACATAATGCTCTCGACGTCGACAACATCATCGTCTCGACGACGTTCACCCGCTGACACCAGCTTTTCGTCCGCGATATACCATTCAACGATGCCTTTGTATTGTGAACATCGAATTTTCCTGTTACTGTGCGGTAAGTAGTCTCATTAAGGAATCCAAACAAATTTGACTGTGTGGATCCGTGCTTTCCCACCACAAATACAATTGAATTTACGAATACAATTGCTCGCATATCTCAAGTTTTTTCTGGCGGGTACGGAGCTTGCATTCAATTGCCTGTCTACATACCGGATGTGAGCCCCTGCTTTGCACGCGACGCACTTGCCATGTACGTCGGACTGTCACCACACGCCATCGCCAGCTTAGAGTCTTAGTGCCGTCAACCAGTCGGATGGTCTGTTCGGCGTGGGTCTGGTGAAGAACAGACGTGAGAGTTGTTTATTCTACCCGCGTTTTCCAGAACGTGTGTAACGGGGCCCGTGCACCCCCTGTACTTTAATAAACGTTCCGCTCATTGGTGTGGAAAATGCATGATTAATAAGGGTTTGTCCGGCAGAATTCAGTAACGGAACATTTGCATGAGTTTTACAATTCACTTTTTTGAAAAATATACCGGCTGGGCCATTTTCAGCGATCATAAACGCCAAATTCGCAGTAGGGGAAGTTTTTTTTCGTTAACTTTGGCCAAACATTGCAAAAATACACATATTTTGCGGTGGATATTGGACACAGTAAACCGAGGTACACACCTGCAGCTGCTACCTGTCGATTGTCTCAGTTACCGCACCGGTGTGTTGCAATAGATGCTGGTTTCAGATTGTTTAATTCCCGTCCGATGCATGTCGCAGATATTGTTTGGACGATCTGGAGATCACACAGGGACTCAAGGACGGTGCACTGGCCTGCACCATGCCGCTGGCTGCACGGCCTTGTTCTGTCTCCCTCCAACCGTCGACCGCTGACAACAGTCGTCACCGTCCTTCCATTGCCGGGCTTCCACGCCAGCTCTGAGCTGCTGTAGCAGGGGGAGGGGGGGGGGGGGGCGTAGGTTCCTGTTCACCGTCCAGTTCTCTGGGACAAAATAAAGATGAAAAAACTAAACCTTTCCCGGTGGCTAGTGCAATTTAGGCTCGGTATGGGTGGTCACTTCTTATTCTGAACTTAAAATTTGGGTCGGGAAATAAGGGTATTAGCACGCGCGCAAGTGGACGGTCGAATAGCCTGCGCTCTGGGGGGGATGGGGGGGGGAGGGGGGTCAATGTGACCCACAAGCTATGAGAGCTATTTGCACTAAATTCACAAAGTTGGTTGGTCTGTATGTATGGTCACTTGCATCAACATTTGAGGTGCCTAAGTCATGACGTTCTGCTTAAATAAGGTTAAACGAGGTCATACTCCATATTGGTGCCCAAGTGCCCTCAGACCGAAATGAAAATCAGTGACCTTTTACCTAGAACAGGTATCTAGGTCCAAGGCAGTTGTGTGAGGCCAATGACCTTGTTTGACCTTAAGAAGGTCATAGTGACCAAAAACATACGAAATTGCTTGGATTTCTTAATTTGAATAGACGTTAACGATTACGCTAGGCTTAGGCTGGTGACCCATGACGTTTAATAAGTCCGTGGGAAATGTCTGTCGCGGTTCATGCTGTACAGAAATGCGAAAAGAGCATTCAGAAACTATCTCTTGAAGCAAGCTCCCAAGCAAAAAGCTGGCTGGTTTTGACAACGGTCTGAACGCCATATCTGACCCTGGGTCAATGGAATTTGCCGCAATCCTAAATTAAACTGTTTTAATACCTAAGAAACAATCTCAGAAATGCATGAATTCGTCAAACACTTCTTTGTCGCATAAGATTGAACAATCCCTCAGAATTGCCTCGGCTGACAGCGTCAACCTGCATTTAACTTGACATAGGTCAGCGACCTTACAAAATAATCTGATTTTGTATACCCCAAGACTACCATTGACTTGCCTACAACTATGCAAAGTCTGGTGCAACTACACCGCACCGCTTGAAAATCATGTTGTAAAAATTTTCGGAGGGGTTGGGGATAATTTGAAACCCCACCCGGGCACATTAAGTCTAAAGACGAGTGAATATTGATTCATTTTCTGAAATGTAGCGTATGATAGCAATCCTTTGGGCGTGTAAGTTTAAGGTAGTGACCTATGACTACCATTTGCGGCAAATGTCATCCGCGTGTTATAACGACACGCTGCCAAGTCTAAAACTAAGCACAATCTACACCTTAGGCAAACAGGGGAAATGACACATGAAAC